GTGGCCCCCCCCCCCACTGCCCCAGAGGAAAGCTGCCCCCCCCCCCCCTTGCAGCACACCGCTGCGCCCCTTCACTACAGCAGGGATACCTGCGCAGTCAGAGCGGTAGCAGAGTCAGGCCCCGAGCAGAAGCCGAAACTCCTTTGTTCCGTCCCGTCTGGCCCCAGAAGCGCTCCCCAGGCCCCGTGGGCTGCAGCACGGGCACCCTCCATGCACAGAAGGACGCGTTGGCCCAAAGCAAGAAGGAAGCGGTTTTGTTTCCCCTGCCTGGAAGGGGGAAACACGTGCAAGGATACGGTTCTTATTTCTATGCTACAACTCCACTGTTCGTCATGAAGCTGTGTTGCTGTCTAGTCACCAACGACTACATGATGACAGGCACAGTTAACCTGACACTCTGCTCTTGATATTTTGATGGCTGTGCAGTTACTACCAGAGACAGAAAGAGAACAAGCAGACAGGGTCCAGTGTTTGGCTTTTATTGAGACATGATTTTCCTCTTTTCATATAACTTATCTAATTAAAATATTCATCTTAGTTACCACAAAAAAGGAACATAGAAAATTGTATATACACAGTTGGGGACCAAAATACAAATGCAAGTCAAAGTCACTCCCCTCCTGCCCACATCACTCATCCCACCAACAGCAGGGCCGCAAAGGGAGAAGAGGCAGCTCTGTTTAGATCCTTGGTGTGTAGTGTAGCACAGAAAAATTGCACAAGTGTAACAACACCCTGGGCACCGAGAGGCTGGGAATGGAGCAAGCACTTTTACCCTAGACTTTGCTTAGTTTGTGTCCAGTGGAAACATCCCTCCTCCCGTCCCTGCTGAGGGCTGGTGCTCACACTCTTCTGGCTGGGCAGCTTTAGTGTCTGAGGAGGAGGAGGGAGAGGGAAGGGAGAGATGTTGGCATCACTCATCGCAGAGCAGAGTTAATTCAGACACTGTCATGGCTGATCCTCTCCACAGCCCCCTCCCACGATCCAGCTCAGCTAAAATACTGGCACAGTCGGCAAAGCCTCGAGCAAAGAGGCTGCTCCAAGTGAGAGGGTACACCCAGTAACAGCAATGCCTTGGGCAGTACCCACATCTGAATATTTAACCATCGTATTAAGTGGCAATTTAGTAGTGGCCAAGATTGTTCTTGGGCTTCACCCAGATCCTTTGCTCCACTGGGGCATGAACGCAATGCCAGACTTCCCTCCCCTTTGCCCCTACCCCGAGTACAAAGGGGAAATAAATGGTAGCACAACAGTCAGCAGAAGATATATATTGTTATCTAATTAAAAATACAGCAAAATTAAATACAGCAAAATGCAAGATTAAGGAGCCATTATTTTACAGCACAACACACACTGAAATGCTGCACGGTAACATTAAAGCATCTGGGACTGTAACAAACTTACAGCACACGAGAGTCTGAGAACACTTTTCCAAGACCTTCAAAATAAGAAGCAAACAGACCAAATAAACAAAAGACAGGCATTTGGGAGTTAAAAAAAAAAAAAAAGAAAAGAAAAGAAAAGGGGGAGGGGGGAAGCATACAGGGATTTTTCTAAAGCCCTCCAGGGAGGTTTCCCCTGGTCAGCACACACAGACAGCTCCACTTGTTCAGCATTTTCCAGCCACAGAAAGCCAGAGGCAGAGCTTCAAGAGCTGCCACCAAGAACAGCACCTACTACCAGCACCTTTCCACTCAGACAGCAAAGGCCTAGGGGAGCAAATATGGCTTGGAACAGGAGATTTTCTCCCTTTTCCTGATCCAGTCAGAGGTCAGGGCCATCACAGAGGCCAGCTCCCTCATTGCATGACCTGGGTCTAACCAACTCCAACCTCCACTAGCACTACCTCCGGGTAAGTTTGCTTTCAAGGCAGATTTAACCCACAAGTGGAAATGCTCACCACAAAAAGGCATCACATTTAACAGCAAGAGCCTAGTAGTGTCCATCTCCTCTGTCTCTGCTGCAGCCACAATGAGTCCACCTGAAATCACACATCTACCACCAGCCGAACTCCCAGCACCCTCCTGTGCCTCTGCAGAGGAGCCATGCTCCAGGGCACCTTGTCACACTTCAACCAAGCCCATCAGCCTAGCGGTTCCGCTAGGCCTTCTCTTTCCAGAGCTCCAGTTCCTCAGACATCACATACAACCAAGTGTTTTGAACTCCTATGATGTATGCAGACATTAAAAAAAAAAAATTCCATTATTCACTTCCCTTCACCCCCAATTAAGTGGTTTCAGGTTCAAAGATGAAAATTCTTGCTTCTTCCAAAGAGAGGGCAGAGGGAAACACAGAGGGAAAGGACAGCATTCAAGTACCAGCTTCCAAACTGGAAATAAATCCTTCCCAATTCCATGCAGAAAACAAGATAAAAGTACTCCTCCTTTCCACTAAAAGAGTCAAATTGATACCTTCATTGATATTTAAAAACTGTTTTCAGTTCCAGAGGCAGACAAAACCAAGTCCCCTCCCTCAAAAAAAAAAATACAAAAGAAAGAGAGACTTAAAATGTTCATTGGAGCACAGTAAAATTTCTCCCCCAAACCTTCATGGTTTTATTCCCAGTCGCCAGCAGAAGACAACAGCAGCAGAGAAAAAGTCTCCAAAGGCTCTTGGCATCCCTGCACAACAATGCAAGCATCTGTACAAGATCTACAGTAACAGCAGAAAGAAGGTTGAGAGCTAAGATTTTAACATACACGAGTAGAGAGCAAAGCCTCGGGTCTGGATGCACTTGCCAATGGACTGATGAGCAGATAGGTCACCAGTACTACCCGTCCCAGAGAGTTCAGGTGGGGTTTCGGGCCCAGCAGGTACCAGATCACGAGGAAAGACTCCCTTGATAACCAGCGTCTGTTCAGACAGACGGACTCTTGCCAGCTTGAGTCATAGAGAAAGGCTGGCCCTTGTACTGCCATGGGAGGGGGGAGAATACTGGGAGCGACATAAATAGTACCAGTGGGGAAAAGGAAGGGGGAAATATTAGTTAAAACCATTTTATAATTTATTAAGAGGTTAAATAGTAAATAGTCTCTGGATCTTCCACTCTCAGCAGGTGCCAAGACTTCACATTTTCTCATGTCTGGAGATTCTGTACACCCTTCTTTTGACAGAAGGCCAGAAACAGGATGTTAAGTGTGAAGGGGAGGGAGAAGGGGGGGGGGGCTTGACACAGATAAAAAGGACCAGAATAAAAGATAAAATACTGTGCTGTCATCTTGTGCAGACTGAAGCTTCTCCCAGCAGCTGCAGCCTCCGCAGAGTTCCATGGAAAGGACCTGGGCTATTTGGGTACCTTCTCCCCCTTCAGTGCCACTCCTCCATGAGAGGGAAATTTCCAGCTCTGTGCTGCAAGCTTATCTTCGAGAGAACCTGTTTTTGAAAGCTTTGATCGTCTTTGCCATCATGGGTGCAATTTCTGTAACAGAGGAGGGGAAAAAAAAAAAAAGAGAGGGAGAAAAAGAAACAATTCAAGTGGCAGTCAGAGACTCGGAGAACAGAGTGCAATTCAGAGCTGCAGACCTGGCTAAGGGGATGCAAGGGGTGCCCCAGTGCTCTTCTTACAGCCCATTGATTTTCAGGTCGCAGACAGAGGAGAGCCCACTCTGCTCTCGGCACTGCCAGAGCACAGATCTCCAGTAAAATTCACTGCTCCTTTCCCCAAGGGAACCACATTACAGTTTCATCATTCCAAATGGTGGGAAGAACACAGAAAACCAGCACAAGGGAGAAAACAGGCTTTTTGCCTCACTGATACCATTAGGGCGAGCCGATAGAGTCAGCACTGGGCAGGCAAGCGAACAAGACACAGCAACAAAGCGGCTTCCTTAGATGCTCCTAGGACCTCTAGAGAGTCAGAGAGCAAAACCCTTGTCTCCACGTCATGGCCCTGTACCTCCCAGCTTTCCCTTACGCTTTTTCCTGTGCAAGAAGCTTGAACAGACCTTACCACCTCTCTCCAGGCAGAGGAGGGAGACCACCGACAGCAACCTTCCTACATAGCCTAGATTTAATCTTACTAGAACACAGAGCAGATTAATGCGTTTATGAAACAGGAGCTATAGGAAGCCACACAAATATTCTGCTGTTTGTACTTACTCTTCACTGGTGGTTTCCTGGGGTCATAGGAGGAGAAGGTGCTACCTGATGACGGGACAGAATGGGCACTGCTGGTGCTGGGCCCATCATAGGACTGTTCCTCATTCATACGAGCATGGCTTTTGCTAGATGTGTAGAGGACTGGTTTTATTCTGAAACACAAGGATGGGAACATATGATTCAGTAAAGGAACCAGTGCGTTTTGATACAATTCTTCAGACACATGAGCCACGTTTGATGTCAGCCCTGCTGCTGTTAACAAACGGAACTAGCGCTTACCAGGATCTCCAGCAAACTTCCCAGCAAGAAAGAGGCTAGTACAGCTGCAAGTTTCACTACAAAAGGACCTCCCAGACACCATTTCCTCTCCTGCCAGCTCAAGGATATGGAGATTCAGAGGGAACCTGGCAGGAGCCCACAGGAAAAGTGCCCTAAACAGCAAGTGCTCCTGGGAAACACTCACTTGGTCTTTTCTGGCAGAAGAGGTCCTCCAGTTCCAAACTTCTCCTGTCTCCTCCGTACATCCCGAGGGGGCTTTGCCGCAGAGTTCACAAATGCCATCTTGGCCACTCTGCCTGCAGGTGGGAAGAGGGAAACATTGCTTGAATCCAGCTTACTATGAAGGAGGCTCTGCAGTACTTGTCTCATTATAGCAAGTTCCAACTGCTCCTTCCCAGTCCATCCGTTCCAAAGCTCAAGTGGCAAAGGCCACTACATAAAGAACAGACGTTTAGACAGCTCCGAGGTTGGATAGGATTCAAACCAGCCACTCAAAAGACCTTCTACACCTTCCGCTGAATGCCTTTTCCTAGTGCATACTTCAGTACTCTTCAACCCCAGCATGAAGAAGCCACTCTAGTGGAACAGGAGGTGCCTCTATAGCCCTTCATGTTCTTGTTGCAAAACATTCCACTGTCTGTTCTGCATGGACGACGCTTCAGATGAGAGCTGAAGCCTGCTAAGTCATTAGCAAAGGCCACTACATAAAGAACAGACGTTTAGACAGCTCCGAGGTTGGATAGGATTCAAACCAGCCACTCAAAAGACCTTCTACACCTTCCGCTCAACACAGAAATTTCCCCCAGCCAGCATTCCCAGAATCCTCTCTGTTCGCCAGGTCATTCAGCCCTATTTTACCTTTGGGTTTGTTGGCATGAGCTGAGCCGATGTTCCGTGCTAACATGAGCAGCCGCTGCTCTCGTGCGTCGTGAAGTCGAAGGTACATTTCCCGCCAGGATTCAAACTCTTCTGGCTTCTCATTCTTGAAGTCTCGGAGACAGTGATTGTGCCACAGTTGATCTGTGTCCTCAATTAAGACCTGAAGAAGAAGCACCCACACACGTTATCTGGGATCTCTCCTGACACCTTTGGGCTCTATACCCTAGCACAGGTATCAGTCCCTCTCCCTCAGCACCAGCAGGTCCAAGGTCCACTGGAATACCACCAAGGGAAAGACGAGTTGGGGGCCTGCTTGCAGCAAGAGACAGGCAGATGGCAAATCCAGGAACACGGGAATCTAGCAAAAGCCACCTCTTCTTGTAAAGAGTGTTGTTCTTTATCATTCTGCTATTCCAGATGAGGAGAGAACATCACTCCCACACATCAGCATCCCTTCCCCAGGCCAGTGCACTCACATGATTACATTCCTCAATGCGATACAGCTGCTCCGGGGTGCATCTCTCCAACACTGGCTCCAGCACCGAGAAAGGGACACCACCCACTTCATAGATCGCTAGGGAGAAGGAAGATGCACAGAGTATTTATCCTATTCCTTCCTTGCCGAGGAAAGGGCTTTCAGACACCCTGAAATGCAGTGGAACAACAGCAATGCTGCATGCTACTAAGCAACATGAGGAGGAAAAATGAACAGTAGGTATTAAGAGTTCAAATGGGTCAGTACACACCAAGCTAAGAAGTCAAACGTATATGTCCCTTTGCAAGGCTGTATTTACCACCAGTTCCAGTACTTGAGCATTCCTTAGACGTGTGCTGGGCTACTGACTCCTGCAGCACTCAAGTTAATATGAGAGCTCTCTCCCATATTGGAGAACTTGCCTTGTAACAAGGACTACTGTTCAAATGTTCAAAGCCAGGTGCTGCTAGGACATATACAAACAAGTTACCAAGACTTCAGAAGAAGCAGAGATCAGTATATTTGCCTGGCAACACGACTTTAAAACTGCTCAGGAAAGGTACTCACAGTCAATGTTGTTGCTGAGGACTCTGATACACTGCTCATACAGAGACATCATCTTTGGGAGGTAGGCAGTTTTAGAGCCCGAATACACTTGCATCTTTGAATTCAACCTGCGGCCTGTAAAACCAGCCTCGCTCTCTTCAACTGTTGAGGGCACTGCTGTAAAAAAAAAAAAAAAAAAAAAAAAAAAAAAAAAAAGACTTGAGTAAGTAGGGAACAGAAAAAAAAAAGCCCACCCTGATGAATAGCACAGGAGACAAGCAAAACACAGACACCCAGAAGCAACCTGTAAGGCCGAGTCTTCAAGAGACCTGAGCTTGTGTGCAGGGTACAGGAAGGGCAAGGCCAAAGCACAAGCTTTGAGAAGGGTCAGCAAAGGATCTTCCTCATTTCTACTAGAGTGCATGGGAAGGAAAAAAAAAAAAACAAACCAACCTTCTTCTGAAACCCAGTTCCTGGGCATTGTGAGAGGCAGGTTGCTAGACCCCCAACATAAGGCAGATTAGGGGCAGCCAGCCAATGAGTCCATACAGCTTTACTGCTATCCTCCCTTCTACAGAAGTTGAGCCCAGTCAGCATCCGCTCCCGCTCCCTCCCACAAACAGCAGCCACTGCCCACGTCAGGCCCATCTTCTCATCCAGCACACACCTTTCCTTTTCGTCTGGGAGCAGGTGATGGACTCGATTGAGGGAAGAGGGCGGTAGTTGGCCTGGATTGGGGGCAGTGGGATGTCTGGTAACGTTGGCACCACATCTAGAAGTATCTGGAAGGAGAGGATGTGCATGCAACTAAGCAGAGAATACAGGAGAACATTACATCCTGCCAGCGTACAAACTGCACTGAACTGCTTTTTGTTTTATATTTTAAATAAGGTACGCAATGCTGATCAGCTTGCACCAGGAAAGAGCCTCAGGGCAAGGCTGCACTTTTGCCACGTTACTGTGACTCTGCCCAGGCTGTCAACGTGAAGGAGCCAAAATTCAGGATCCGAATCACTCGGCACCCTCTAACAAGGGCCATCCACATCTTAGCCTAAGTTCAGTGCTAAAGGACTCTGGAAAGAAGCCAAGTCAGATTAACGATGCAAAGAACACAGAAAACAGCAGAAGAGAAAGTAGACAGAAACATCTCCTTGACCCCAAACATTCATTTTTGCAGAGAAGGAGAAGAGACAAAAATGTAAAAAAAAAAAAAAAAAAACACCCACAACAAAAACACCCACAAACCTCACTAGTAGTGGGGAAGAGAAGGGAGCCTCACAAACTGGGGGAATTCTGGGAATTCTAGAACTTTGTTATGAAATACTTATTAGAATGAATGGAAATTAGGATTTTAAAATGGTGTTAAGAGTATAAAAAAACCACTTTTTGAAGAGTAAACTGTTTCAAAGTTGAGTATGAAAGATTACACAGTAAAGCTCTTACACATTAGTCCTGATTTATATATACACTATACTTGCACCCTTATGGTAATGAACACATCCAGGGTCATTATTCGTTTTTCGAGCTTTCACAAAGGAAAGTCAGGCTTCTAGAATAAGCTGCATTGTAACATGAGTTGTCCTATTTCTTCACCGCTTCTGGAGACCAACAGGTTAACAAAATTGCACTACAGGTAAAAATAGCAAAAAAAACCCATGTCAATTTTAGAGAAGCATGAATACTTGAGAAGAGAGCTATGAGAACCTTTGTAGTAGGTAGGGATGCACCGCACATGAGGCAGAGTTCTAACTTTGCACGTTCCTAAAGACCTTCTGCATGCTGAACAAACATATCACATCCAATATCTCAACGCAAAGCTTGTTTTCTTATGAGTATTAGCTGGAGAGGTTCTCTCTTACTCTCCCTTTCCTTGAATAAGCAGCCTTTTGTCTATTCATTTCTTTGCTTCTCCCTCTTCACCTTTCTAGCAAAGTTACATTCTAACAGTACAATGTGATGCCTGCAAGGGTGCACTACAGAGCAGGGCATTATGAAACACATGGTGCCTCCCAGCAGGGACCACAGTCACAGGTTTAGACACAGATGGGACACCACAAGCAAGATGCAGACCTCAGCCCAACACCTTGAAGGGGAAAAATGATAAGCCCCAGACAGTAGAGGACCGAGAGCAGCAGGTCCCTCCTTCTTTGTTCACGTTCAGAGCCTTCCAAAAAAAAAACAAAAAAAAACAAAAAAAAAAAACCACACAAAACACTTACCCTGTTTGGTTTAGGAGGCTCTGGTAGTTTCTTCTCTGCCTTTTTCTCACTTGTCCGCTTGTGGCTTGGGCTCTTTCGACTTGAGCTCGAGCTCTTGGTACTGGCTTTGGATCCGTTCTGCTTGCTGTGCCCTCGGTCTTTCTCCCCAGCTGACACAGTGGGCTTGGCCACTTTCTTTTTCTTTTTCTGGGGCTGGTCGTAGCTGAGATAAGACTCAAAGGACATTGTAGGTTGCTCAAATTCATCCTCAACTTCCCCCTCCCCAAAACTTGAGGAAAAGCCCATTGATTTTTTGTCCATATCAGAGGCCCTGTGTTTCCCCTCTGAAGTTTTTAAGCTCCCAGAAATCCCCTTTTCTTTACTCTTATTTGAGGAGTCACTCTCAGCTTTCCGTTTCTCCCGCTCTGCGGTAGAAGTCTCCAGGCTCAGCTTGGACTTTTCTAGTTTGTTTTTCTCAGAGTCCCGATGTTTTGGCTTCTTAACATGGTTGTCCAAAGACTCTTCCAACTGTGGCTGCACATGCAACTTGTCCTTTCTGGAGGTGCCACTTTCTCGGTTCTTCTCCTTCCTGGTGCCATCTGACATCCTCTGCTTCTCCTTGCTGCCCCCTGCCACTGGGGCTTCTCGGAGCTGCTCTTTAAAAGAGGTCTTGTGCAATCTTTCTGGGCTGAAGGCAGAGGTCTTGTCTTCCCCTCTGCCATCAAGTCGCTGCTTCTCCTTGTGAGAAGACTTGTGCTCTTTGCTTCGACTCAGGTTCCCTTTGTCGTGGGACTCACCAGGATTCCTCTCCCGGCTTCCCCCCACCTTGTCCTGAAAGCTGTGGCCTTTGCTGGCTTTCCGATGAAACACTGTCTGTTCTTCCTGCTCCTCGGAGGCGTAAGGGTCCGTGTACATATCCTGAGGGCTCTCACTTGGCTCAGGTGACACAGCTTGTCCATAGTCTGAGTACTCCTGATCCGAGGAGAGCACTGGGGAAGATCTGCCCCAACCCTTACCCTCTTGGCTGCTATAGCCATAAGTCTGATGGGTTCTCTCAGAGCCAGGATACCTCTTGGGCTTCTTTTCCCTATGATTTGGGCTATAGGACTGGCTGCAGGAAGGCTGGAAAGGCTCTGAATAGTCCTGGTCAGGTTCTTCATCCTCTCTGGGGGAAGGTTCTCGTTGTCTTTTCCTTGAGCTGCTCCTCTCGTAGTCACGGTCTTCAGAATCTAGATTATTTCTAAAGGAATAAGAAAACAAAACAGTTTGTCTGAAACTTCCCAGTAGGAATCAAGAGAGCCACTTCCCATAGACCGTATGAACGTGGGACCCTCTCTTACAGAGGGCCAAGGCTTCGTTTGGTAGTTTTGTCACAAGAATACCACTAATTCTCCTTGGCGCAGCAGTATTCAGGGATTTGGAAACAGCACTTCTGGTGCAGGAAGTGATTAAGCATTTATTAGGACTAGACACTTCCCAGTTCATTGGGCAAGTGGAGACAGATGCCTACAGAGACTCCTCCATGCCTACACACTCCTGACTGTGTGGTGTACATGGGACACATGCTCCCTAATTCACAAGTTAAGCATGCAAGGATACCACAGCCATCACGATTACCAAGAATAACTGGGTCTTTATCATCCACATCTGTAAGATTTCTTTGCTGGATTCAACAGAGCTCAGAGCTGCTACTGCAACGTGTTCGCTAGCATTAACTTTCAGTTTCCATGCCATTTTTGCACTTAAAGTCTTCTTTCAGAGCAAGCCACTTCCTTTACTTGGACCTACAACTTCTCCTTAGTGTCATAAAATGGGAAGCAAACCGATTGCATCTCTTGCCTTATTAAGGGTGCTTTTTTGGCATCTACTGTTAATCTTTCCATCAAACTGCAGTTTCCTGAAAGTCAGCCCCTACCTCCACTCAAAGCTGCAGCTGTCAGCAACCCAATGCTCTGTGGCTAGCACAGGCAGGAAGTTTACTCCACAACAGGCCAAAAACGCCATGCAGAGTTAGCACACTTGTGTTACAAGTTTTTCCAGAGCCTTCACTTGTTTCCATGGTCAGAGAAGTTTATAATCTCCTCCGCTGCAAAATATAACAAAGTTTATCCAGCAAGACAACCCAACAGGTTCACTTACCTCTCTGCCTCTTGGGAAACTGGCACCAGCTTCTTCCACCTGGCTACAAGGTTCTTCGCAAAGTCTCCAACGAGTTCATGTTTCCGTAAGCCATTCACAGTCTTCCCGACACCCGTCTCCTTCATGAGAGAGTCAAGATATTAATTCATCTTTGCAAAACAGTCAGCATTCTTGTCACTGCCAAACCTTCCGCAGGAGGACCAAAGTTAACCTGCTATCTATTGCTACCAGATAGAAGTAAACCTCCCTGAACTAACTGCAAAGATATTACATGTAATTTATTATGTTTTCAGCAAACATTTTGATTACATTGTTAGTATTGTGCTGTTTAGTTCTGTAGATCAGAGAAGACAGAGAACTTCGCCTTAGTCAAACATCAATTATTTGGTTCAATAAACCAAGTTATTATTTACCATAACTTTTGATAAGTCTGAAGACAGAAGTCAGTCACTAATACTTTCAGGGATTAGCACTTCACTTCTAAACTCATGCAGCTTCAGTCATTATTAGGGACCATTTTGGCTCTCATATCCTGATCACGTGTTAAGCTTTTGGAGGAATTTCAGATGACAAACTGTCTTCTGCTATTTTACTTTTGCTCTGGCATGCTCCTTCCCCCTCTTATTGTAAAGAAATTCTGTATCCGGAATTTCTAGAGCCCTCATCACAATCATGTTTATGATACTGTTTTGTAGCAGGTGGCCAAGGCATTATGTTCTACTTCAGGGAAAGCAGCACTTCCATGGCCAACAGTTATTCTGTAGCTTGACAGACATGAGGAAAGCATAAGAGATTTCACAGCTCTTACCACAAGAATGTCAACTGTGATGGGCAACTCAGACAGCCTCTTCAGACTTTTCAGCAGCTGCAGAGACAAGGAGGAAAGCGTTCAGACTTGTCCTACTAAGTCACATACTGTGATTAGAAAGGAAGAAAATTCTGCACTGTGTGAGAGCTTGTTAGAAAGATCCAACTGGCAGACAGCTGTTATCTTGCTCCAAATCAAGCTCCTAAGAAGCTGAACACATGAGGCGCAATTGTAAAGAAATTAACGTCTCTTTGCTTCAGAAGGACCACCTGAGTACCTTAAATGCATTCAAACATTAATGCTTTCTTCACAGAGGACTGGAATTTAACTTTGGCTTAAAGAATCAGTAACAGAGACGCATCACACAACTTTGTTGCACAGCAAGCCAAAAAAAGGACTTGGAAGCTTGTGACTCTTAGAAGGTGATGCTCAAAAAAATCACATCCCTTGGTGTGACTGGGTGGGGGTAATCCTTTCTGAAGTTCTGCAAATTAAACCCTCAGAGAAGGAAGGTTTATAGATGCTCTTGAAGATGTAAGAAGGAACCTTGATCTCCTGTGCCAGACCCTCCACGGGGCAAGGGTTGGTGACAGTCTCTCTCCTCACAACTACAGTCTGTGCTATCTACCAGAAAGACAACTGACCCCTTCCAGAACCACTGCCTGTAGCCTCACTTTTGCTCCCTTCCCTTCACCACACACTAGCAAAGAATGTTTCTTTCTTCCATATGCACACTGCCAAGCGAGGCACTGCCAGGTTCAGGCACATCAAGCTACTCCACCTGCCAGGGAGAGAAGAGGAACCCTTTCTGACTTGCACCCTAGACAAGAGCGGTTGCTGGTGAAGCAGAGGAACTTGTACCTCTGCCACCTAGACAATTTTGAGAAATTGCTTCACCGAGATTTCTGTAGATTTTTTAGCTACAGTAAAGGTCATAGCACAGATCTAACTGTATCTAACTGTACCACTGCCCCTCATGTTATTTCCTGCATCACGGCTATAGCCACAGATCAGCCTAATCAGCATTCCCATTGTTATAGCACCTATACAGGCCAGCTTTGTTCAGCACTGTTGTGCTATATGCCATACAAAGGGCTGTCCCTGACCCAGAAGGTCTTCTCTTTAAAGCACTGTACTCATGCTCAAATCAGCACTCTGTTGGCACAAGCTATTCCAATCACCCCCTGCTTCCATCATGCAAGGGTCAAAGAGGTTTAGAGTGACTTTTGAAGGAAATAACTTCTCTTAACATATTTAAAGAGCGCTCAAACTTTCAGAGAGAGTACTCCTTGACACAGAGATAAGAGTTCATCTAGCTTAAGCAGAACTATACAGTGGTTTCCGTTCACCGGGGCCACTGCCCCATCTCTGTTATATTTAGGACTTTGTTACCAAGGCTGAAGGCTTTTTTTTTTCTTGTTTGTTTTGGATCAGTTAAACATTTTGATACCAACAATAACTGTTTTCCAGCACTCTGCAGATGGGATGCAAATGAGGATGTAACACTTCTAGAGGCACTCTAACAATAGCAAAACAGGTCTCAAAATCTCTATCCTTGCAACTGCAGACTGATGTTAGTGCAGAGACTGCTCCAGATTCACAGGATCTGGTGCAGGTAACACATTCATGCTCAACACTCTATCAGCAGCTCAACTCATCCGGGGTGGGGGGAGGGGGGCAGCACAGCAATCCAATTGGGCTAAAAACCCTGAAGTCCTTTCGGTTTTCCAGAACTGCTGTGATTTGCCAGACCTGTTGCTCGATAAACCCACTCACAAGCCAAGACACCAAACAGGGGCAGCAGAGCTGCAGACACAGCCCACCTCTGCTGCCTCACCCCAAGCCGCCGCGGCAGAGCCTACCAAAGCTCATGGGTCAGGTTCCCTTTGGGAAGCTCTGTGTGGCCAAGATCCTTTTGGCACCAGCAATGCAGGGATTTGGACTAGCACGTGCAAAGCCCGTGTTGGAAGGAAGGGGGCAGGAAGGGACAGAAAGAAGGATGGATCGCATGATTAGATGAAGTAAAATGGGGCAATATTAAAACAGTAAAGCCTCTGTGAGCTGGTCACCTTCCTAGGGAGAGCTTTCACAGCTTATGAAATCCTACCATAAGAGTAAGGGAAAACTCCTTCTGTTATCCTTGATGTCATCCCAATTATTTTCTAGATACACTCCACCGTAGCATCTTCAACAACTCTTTGCTGTTTGGTTATATGTTGCCTTCAGGGTTGAAATTCAACAGGAAAAGCGCTATTCTCAACTGAGTTCATCTGAATATTTTGTACATACAGGGGAAACTGACTGTGGTTTGAGAGCAGAGGACCCACACAGCCGATCCACAATACTTCTCACTGGGACTAGTTTATTCCACTCCACTGCTGTCAGTGGTCAGAAACCTCTCTGCATCTTAAAAAGCAGAGCTCTTTCCAGTCACGGTAGCTAAGTTAACAAGTTGGCTTTCTGAAAAGCCACCATACGTTTACTCTTGCCTATCAAGACAGAGCCTGTGTGTCACTTCAACCAAGCTTTTATGCTGGCACATTCATTAGAAATGTTACTACAGTTTGGAGTTCAGCAGATTTTTCCAGCCGAGTTGTAAATCTCAAAATGACGCTGTCAGGAAATAAGGAATTTCTGTTACCTGCGTCAGCAGTGACACCTTAGATTGTCAGATAAGTATATTAACAACTGCATGCTTATTGGCACCGTCCAAGTGGAACACAGCCCAGCACTATCTGGGTAGGAGGATACCTGGAAGCTGCGTTTGGACAGCATAGCAGAACCCTGCTGTGCCTGAACCTCTGTGGGCCACAGGAACAGTCGTGCACAAGAGCCACAGGTACAGTCGTGCACAAGAGCCACAAAGCAAGACAATGATGCAACAAGACTTAAGAACTTGTATCAAATATTTCCTATGGAAACTAGCTGATACAATACGCTCTGTTGCCTGCAGCTGAAATCAGCTAAGCAGGCTCAAATCTGACAGCTCCTCTCAGAAATAACTATGATTCTACGAGTTTTATGAGAAAAAGGCAGCCAGGTAGAAGACAGAAAATTCACAAAGGGGCTTGCATCTTATGGGACACCAGAAAAAACACATACAAGAAAGCTCTTCTAAAACACCCCGGTGCGGAGTAAAGTTTCAGTCAGTCAGCCACAAGATACAAATAAGAAAAACTTGGCTTTGTTAGTTCCAGTGCCAATACAGTCTTGTTTAACATAGGTGGATTATTTTCTTTTTTCTAAAAGAAGTTAGCCAGACCGTTACTATGCTAACAACACACACTAATATCAGATTAGTGCAGCATGGCCTGGCCCCATCCTCTTCATGAGGATTTTCTCCTGTTCACATTTCCCTTACCTTCTCTCTTCCCCTAGAAGAGGAGCAGTCCCGAAGCAGAGTTTGTACCCTCTCTACTGGAAAAAGTCGTCATTTGCAAACCATGACAACAGCATCCAAAGTGTCGCACTGTTTTGTGTCGGCAGCCCAACTTTCCCTCAAGGTAATATTAATACTCAACACCTTTCAGCAAGGCAGTTTACAGTCCTACACAACAGAGAGTAAATATTGGTCTTTCACATTACTGATAAGATGTTTCAGAACAGGGCAAGAAAACTCAAGATTTGTAACAGTGTTGTAACATATGGGGAGCGCTCAAAGATGTTGCGGCTAAGTCTTGCTGACATGGTATAGCTATAACTGCTTACAGAGCTGCTGGGTAAAGATTTATAGCAAAAGAGCAAAGACATTTTCTGACAAACGAACGTGCTCAAAAAGATATGCGATCTGTCAACAACATACAATAGCAACTAAATCTGAGTCTAAGAAGACTAACACTTCCGAGGACAGACAGAGTTTAAAGGGTGTCAGAAATGAAAAGGTGTAGGCCACAGGATCTTTCTCCTGGCGAAGGGAGAGGGGGGAAAAAAGTTTAAAGTCACTGTTACAGCTGGTAACAGCTTGCTAGTGCTAAACACCTTCCCCCCCCCCCATTGCAAAACCACATGGAATCAACAGAGAAAGAAGAGAAAGAAATGACTTAACATTGCAAGGTTACTGGAGGAAAAGTCAGCCTGTGCAAACACTGCCCGAAGACTTACAAAGCCTCAGAAACACAGACAGGCCATCATTGCCCCAAGTTTACACAAGGGTCAGGAAAAAGCAGTACCAATACTCTGTTCACAGTATGCTGAGCAGATCTTTGAAATCCTGTGCATGCTCTTAGCACCAAGAAGCCCCAAAGCCCCCTGGACGCAGCAGCTTCTCTGCAATCACCCAGTTCCATTTTGGGGTGCAGGGCCCCACCAGCTAAACCCTCCTAGCCTTGGCTGAGAGGGCGAGAGAAGGAATCAGAAGTTCAGCTCGATTCCAATTTCAAGTTTCAGATGAAAAAGCAATTAATCAGAAGCCTCATACAAGAGTTCCTGTCAGTGGTTATCAAGCAACAGACGTAGCCAAACGGCACTAAACAGATTTGAAGCACAAGCTGGGGACGGCAACAGACGCCGTCCCGCGTGGAGACGGGCTAGAGGCGTTAACGCTTCCCCAAGGCCAGAGACGGGATCCAAAGTCAGGGCCCGAATTAAAACTCGGGAACTCCTGGCGCTGCCTGCGCCTCTCCAGAGAGCGGAGCGGCGTGGCGGCATCGATCGCCCCCCGCGCCTCGCGCTCCCGCCCCCG